AGCAACTGAACACGAAACCTGACCAAGGAGGTGAAAGATACACTGACTACTACAAAACACTAATAAAGGGAACCAAAGATTATTCAAAGAAATGAAAGAATATCCCATGCCCCTGAAATAGAGGAATTACTATTACTAAACTGGCCATACAACAAAAAGCAATTTACTGCAAAATGTCTATCAAATTACCTATGACATTTTTCACAGAACTAGAACGACAAATCCAAAATTTTATATGGAACCATTAAAGACCCAGCATTACCAAAGCAATCCTAAGCGAGCAAGGGGGGAACCAAAGCAGGACATTTAACTCTCCCAGCTATAGTAATCAAAACAGTGTAGTACTGGCACAAAAACAGACATACAGATCAATGGAAGAGAATAGAGAACCCAGAAATAGACCAACACACCTATGGTCGATTCATCTTTGACAAAGGAGGCAAGAATATAAAATGGGACCAAAACAGTCTCTTCAGCAAGTGGTGCTGGAAAAGTTGGACAGCTGCATGCAAATCGATGAAATTAGAACACACCCTCACACAATGCATAAAAATAAAGTCACAATGTCTTAAAGGACTTAAACATGGGCTTCCTTGGTGGTCCAGTGGTTAAGAATCCACCTGCCATGGCAGGGGACACAGATTCAACCCAGGTCCGGAAAGATTCCACACACTGGGGCAACTAAGCCCATGCATCACAGCTACTGAGCCTGTGCTCTGGAGGCTGGGAAGAGCAAGCACTGAAGCCCACACATCTTATGGCCTGTGTTCCTCAACAAGAGAAGCCATCGTGACGAGAAGCATGTGAACTGCAACCAGACTGGCCCCCACTCACAGCAACGAGAGAAAGCCCAGGCATAGCAATGAAGACCTAGCACAGCCAAAACTAAATAAATTAAAACTTAAAAAGAGAGAGAGGCTTAAACATAACACATGACAACATAAAACTCCGGAAAGAAGGCATAGGCCAAACATTCTGACATAAACTGTAAAACATTCTAACATAAATCATACCAATGTTCTCTCTCCCAAGGCAATAGAAACAAAAACAAAAATAAACAAATGGTACCTATTCACACTTACAAGCTTTTACACAGCAAAGGAGACCATAAAAAAGACCAAAGGGATGGGAGAAAGCATTTGCAAATGACGTGACCAACAAGGGCTTCATTTCCAAAGGATACAAGCAGCTCATACAACAAAAAAAACAACCTAACTGAAAAGCAGGCAAAAGACCTTAATAGACATTTATCCAAGGAAGACATACAGTAGGCACATGAAAAGATGCTCAACATCACTCATTATTAGAGACATGCAAATCAAAACAATAAGGTACAATGAAGTACCACCTCACACCGGTCAGAATGGCCATCACTAAAAAAATCTACAAATGCTAGAGTGTGTGTAGAGACAAGAGAACTCCCCTACACTGTTGATGGGAATGTGAGCTGATGCAGCCACTGTGGAAAACATGGAGGTTCCTCCGAAAAGTAAAAATAGAACTATATGATCTAGCCTCCTGGTGGCTCAGCGCTAAGAATCCACTGGCAATGCGGGAGACCTGATTTCCAATGCGGGAGACCTGATTTCGATCCTTGGGTTGGGAAGATACCCTGGAGAAGGGAATAGCTACCCACTCCAGTATTCTGGCCTGGAGAATTCCATGAATTCCAGTCCATATGGTTGCAAAGAGTCAGACACAACTGAGCAACTTTCACTTTCATATGATCTAGCAATCCTACTCCTGGGCATATACCTGGAAAAATTATAATTCAAAAAGATTCATGCACTCCTATGTTCATAGCAAGAGCCAAGTCGTGGAATCAATTTAAATGTTCATCAACAGATCAATGGATACAGATGTGGTATATACATAGAGCGGAATACTACTCAGCCATAAAAAAGAACAAAATAACGCAATTTGCAGCAACATGGATGCAACGAGAGATGAAGTAAGTGAAGTAAGTTAAAAAAAAGAGAGACAAACACCATATGATTGCATTTATATGTGCAATCTAAAATATTACACAAATGAACCTATCTGCAAAACAGAAATAAACTCACAGATACAGAGAACAGACATCTGATTGTCAAGGGGGAGGGAGAGAGATGGACTGGGAAGTCTGAGATTAGTAAATGCAAACTAAGATATTTAGACTGGATAAACAAGGTCCTACTTGATAGCACAGGGGACAATACTAGATCTCCTGGGATAATCATACTAGAAAAGAATATTTTAAAAGAATGTGTATATTTGTATAACTTAGTCAATTTGCTGTACAGCATAAATTAGCACAACACTGAAATAAGCACTCTGAAAACTCAACCTCATTCGAAGATGAAATCACAGGTACTTAAGCACCTTAAGTAACTTCAGTTACACTGGACCCTCTGCTTTCATTTTTTTTTTCATTTATTTTTATTAGTTGGAGGTTAATTAAGACTCAACTTTCTGTAGCAGGTGCAAGCATTCAGTTTCTTAAAGTTCTGGTGGATTGGCTGAAAGGAGGCAATGAATTAAATTACTACTTTGTTTATTAAATTACTACTACTTCACACAATCATTATGTTAAACAATAAGTTCCTTAAACGTGTTTGAGTCACTTATGCTTGAGTAACAAGCTGGCTGTCGTCTGTCTTCATAGGACTCACATCCGATGTGCTGACTTAAGTGTTAAACCCAGAATACTGGGAATCTGCCACACCAGTTCATGGAACAAGAAACGTGTCTAGTCCATGACCTAGGAGTTTTAAGTGTTTTTTCCTTCACCTAACAATGATCTTTTTAGCATTAAAAGGAATAGGTTAAAAACAGAATGTCTGTGATGATTTTAAACCAAACACTGAACTCTCTAAGTAGCCTGTGCTAACACATCTGAAACCTGACAGATGAATAAGCACACTGGACCCAAGAGCCCAAAATGCACTGAGCACTCTGGGAACCTTTCATGATTACTACCGTTTACAGAAATGCTGGTTAGCTGACTTGCTTTGTTGCAGGGAGTGGGAGCTATTAAAAAAAATTCAGCTCACCCACAACCCAGGGTTAATAGAGAATTCTTAAAATATTTGTGTCTGGGCCTTAGTATACTTAACGGCACAAGGGCAGGCAACCAAAAAAAAAAAAAAAAAAAAACATGCAAAATAGCCAAAAAGATGGGCAGCTCAAAGAACCCTAACTCCTTCACTGTCTCTCATCCTCAAGAAAAAAGTTAAAAAATTATTTTACTTAAATAAAATAGAAATGCTCTGCACAGTAATCAAATTCTGCCATAATAATCTTTTCTCTCAATTAGAATTTCTGACTAAATAAAGTTATACTCCATTCTTGTTTTATCCCCTTAGCAGATCATTGTAAGCCAGATCTGATTTGTTTGATTTGAGCTGTATTATATGATTTTTGAAAAGGCCAAAGTTTTTCATGAAGTGAAGATGAAGTGCCATTTGCCTTTCATGCCAACATATTGCCGGAAAACAAAAACCCAACCAAGAGTACTTCGGACAGTTGAGGGAATGAGGCTCTGATTTTCAACAATGACTTCTCTCTGCTTTTAGGGACACAGAGGTGACAGTAATTTGAAAACTCACGAATTTTCCTTTCCTGTAGAAAATCATCGATTCAATCCAAGTTTTTCTTCTTTAATGTAATCCTTTACATGTAATACAGGACTAGGTCTGCATTATGTTATATACAAAATACATGTATAACATTATATACCTCTATCATGTTGAAAACACGTTTCTGTTACCTACATTCAACTAAAAATTGATGCTATGGACATTAACTAGCCAAGGCACACACGAAGAGCTCAATAAATGCTGGGTATGTCATGTGTACAGGGAGAAATAAAGAACAGTGGAACCTGGCTGTCCTTCAACTTACTAAGGATTAATCCATTACAAGCTTTGTATCTGCCAGTCAATAGCACTCCTAGAGGGGCACCCTTTCTACCTTTTCAAACTCCCTTCCCATACCAAGCAGAGTTGCCACAAAGTCTTGGGAGAGTTACTAGAGCCAGAATTCCAAGTCTTGGCTGAAGTTATACCAAGTAACACTACCCCCAGTGCCTAGAGGTCAAAGTGCTCCAAGCTTAGCCTAGGCATATCTAAACCCCGGAGCCACAAATAACCTCTAACCTCACCCTCCCAAGCACCACGGCTGTTTCTTTCAGCTACTTTTACCCTAAGAGCAGGTGTGTAAGGGATAGAGCGTCTCCCTCTGGGTTCCGCTTGAGGGCTCCTGAACTGACTGCCAAGAAAAGCTCAAGGTTGAGGAAGACGAAACGGTAGGCGTGTTTCTGCGGACACTAACCCTGCGTGAATCCTCCAGAGACCAGTACTGGTGATCAACAGGTGTACACCAAACTGGGCACTCAGTAACAATATGTAACAGACAGCAACTACTATGTAACAAGCGCTAAAGGGACAGGCCTGCATACTTGTCACTCGTTTAAGCCTCACAGCCACCCCACGGGGTAAGTACTCTCAACCCCGTTTCATTCAGAGATAAGGAAACTGAGCACCGACATGTTTCAGAAAGGACAAAACCAAAAAACTTTTGCCCAAGGTCACAGGATAAGCAATGGTGAAACTTCTGACTGAACAGGGCCACTCAGTCTCCGGATTCCCGGTCAAGAGAAACAAAGTTACGAAGTTTGTAAATGAGTGGGCCGGGAAGAGGCAGTCAACTGTACACTCGAGGAACCCTAAGTGCCTCCTTTTCTGACTGTAGTAAACGAACGCGCCCTTCCGGGGCGATTCAATTAGCCCGACATCCGCAGCCGCGGCTGGCCGCCACGCGGACCTTGTAAAACGCCCCCTCCCCCGGGTCGGCGCTAGAGGCCGAACCATCGCTACTCTCGCGACCAGGAGTACAGTGCAAGACGTGGAAACGGAACAAAGGCCTGCGGCTGCACGAGGCCCGGCTTACTGAGCCCAGGCGCCCTGCCCTCTGCCGTCCTCTAGTCTCGCGCCCACCCCGAGTCGTTCACGCCGCCTCACCGGCTTCTGGGCGACGCCCGACAACACGCGAGAGACGGCGGCGAGCATCTTCCTCATGGAGCGCAGGCAGTGGCTGCAGCTGCGAACCTCCAATGAGCCGAGGAGTGCAGCCCAGGTGAGTTCAAGTCTCCTTCAGGTGTCCTGAGCGGACACTTCCACTTAACGGCGGCGCGACGCGACGGAGAGACGTCATGCGCCGCGCCCGGTCTCAAGCCAACCAGGACGGTTTCCAGGGTGTGCCCCGCCCACCCGAGGGAACGGCGGCCGGCCATTGGGTGTCGGAGCCACAGGCCACGGCTGAGCGATACTTGTGTCACCACGCCGCCAACGGGTGAGGCGCCGTAGACCCCAGGGCGCCTGCGTGGGAAAGTGAGGCCACACTTACAGGCGGAGGAGCGGCGGGGGTGGGAACTAGTTTTCGTACCCAGCTTAGCTTAAGCCACGCACGATGGATACCGTGCAAAGCGAATCTTACTGGGCATCCAACCCTGCCGGTGCTGTAACAGCCTTCGCTCAACACACGCAATGATGAAGATTAAAGGCTTTGTTGTTGATCAGTCGCTAAGTCCCGTCCTACTCTTTGCTAACTCAGGACTGCAGCAAGCCAGGCTCCCCTGTCTTTCAGTATCTCTCCTAGTTAGCTCAGATTCATGTCCATTGAGTTGATGATGCTATCTAACCATACTTTCTAAGATTAATAGCTGGGTAAGAGTCAAAAGACAAAACATCTGGTTTCTGTAGATGGTTCTGCTGCGAAACTGTCTTTAGGAAATCGAATAATAGTTGTAAAAGGCTTCCGGGTCTGTCTGAGCGAGGCTCTGATAAACTAAATTCATATTTTAAAGTAAGACAAAATTTTCAACAATTTTTCTCTCTTGTGTGCACTGTGCATCTGCCCTATGCACTGATCTGACCCAGTGGCAAAAACACCTGCTCAACTAGAATGATCAGATCTTCTAGTGCCAGTCATGGAAACTCCTTAAGAGAGAACATGAATCTCTCAATCCTGCAAGGGATCACCATGACCCACCACGCACCCTGGATGTACATACATCTTTGGTGAAATTCACGTACAATGCCAATAGATCATTTCCTTTAAAGATAGGGACTGGTACAGAACAGACCAAGTCACAGGACCTGAGGAGATATGGAGCCACACCTAACGGAAGTTCTCACCTTAAATACTTGGTTAAGACCTTACTGATCTCACTAGCTATACTGTTCATATCCTGCCTATTTGACGACATGATTGTTTCTTGCATTACCAGATGTGTGACTGAGCCTCTGATAAATACAACAATAACTAAGTGACTGAAGCCCCAACAATGGCTGTTAGACCTGCTCTGAAACAGCCTGAGAAAAATGCCCAGAGGGACCCAGGTGAAAAGGGATGGGTTTGTTATTACTGTGGAAAGGAGGGGCATCTCATGTGGGATTGCCCTCAGGCATCTAAGCTGCCCCTGCTCCAGGTCTGATCTACAAAGGCCCACACTGGAGAAGAGACTGCCCTCCGAGGTGTAGGCCCCAGGTGTCAGGCTCTTAGGACAATCAGGACAAAAGGTGCCCAGGGGTTCCCACACAAACTCCCATCCTAATTACACCTGGGGAACCCCGTGTATTAATAATTGTGGAGTGCCAATCAGTTGATTTCTTTTGGACACTGGGGCAAACTTCTCTGTGCTCACTGAAGCCCCTGGTCCACTTTCCTCTGGATCCACCACTGTAATGGGACTCTCTGGACAAGCCAAACGCCATTATTTCAGTCATCCTTTAAGCTACAACTGGAACTCTGTGCTGTTTTCTCGAGTTTCTAATCGTGCCAGAGTCTCCCTCACCACTTCTGGGGAGGGATATACTGAGCAAGATCCAGGCCTCTCTTTTCTGAATATGGAACCTGCTCTTTCTCTCCAATTAATTGAACAAAATGTAAATCTTAAAGTGTGGGCTGATGGAAAAACTGTGGGTTGAGCACAGAATGCTGTTCCTGTCTTTATCAAGCTCAAAGACCCTCACCTGTTTCCACATCAAAAGCAGTATCCATTAAAGATGAGGTGTTAAGGAAGGGTTAAAACCCACCATTGAGAATTTAAAAGATCAGGGGCTATTAATTCCCTGTAACAGTCCCTACAACACTCCTATTTTGGGTGTAAAAAAGTCAAATGATAAATGGAGACTTGTTCAAGATATATGAATAATACGTGTCTAATCCTTATAGTTTATTGTCTGAAATTCCTAAATGAGCCAAATATGACTAAGACAATTGAGAGGATTCTTGGGCATTACAGGCTATTGCCGCATTTGGATTCTGGGTTATGGGGATCTTGCCCAGCCTTTATATTAACTTATAACTGAGACTCAGTAGGCCCAAACCGAAAAGCTGGTTTGGTCCCCAGAGACTCAAAAAGCTTTTAAGGCTCTTCAAACTGCTCTCTTACAGGCTTCAACTTTGAGCTTGCCCACAGGATCAGAGTTGTCACTGAAAAAAAGGCTATGACCACATTGTATAAGGGTAATTGTTACTATTTTGCTAATGCCTAAAGCTCATACATTTACTAATGGGCAAAATTTTACTATACTGACTTCTCATGTTGTAAGTAGGATCTTAAGTTCAGAGTGACAATGGCTCCATCTTTAAAGCTGCTGTAACTCAAGGGGTGTCAAAAGCTCTAGGAATAGAATATCACACTGTTCCTGGAAACCCCAGTCTTCAGAAAAAGTCGAAAAGGCTAATGACATTATTAAAAGACGCCTGTGTAAGCTAACTCATGAAACACAAGACAGTTGGTTTAAAGTTTTACCCGTAGCTTTAATGAGGGCTCAAACTGCCCCTAAGAAGAAGGGACTGTCTCTATGATAGTCTGTTTTTGTGCACAGATATCATCATAGATCCTAAAGCCTTAGAACTATTTGACTCAGCTTTCAGCTTTTCAACCTCCTCATTGTCATGGCCCAGGCACAGGTTGGAAAAGAATTTCCAGACATGAGACAGAATGAAAGAAGAATAAAATTTATTAGAATGGGAGACACTGTTAGAACGGCAGGCCAGCTCAAGGGAGTGCCGAACAGGGGTCCTTAGTCCACTATTATACCCAGGGTTCAAGGTGTGGGATAGGGGTCTTACGAGTCATTTGCTGATTGGATGAGGCATGTATACTGGGTGGGGGAAGAGTAGGGCAAATACCTTCTCCCGATGGGGTAGGAGGGGAGACAGGTTATACTGTTCCATGAATAGTTACACCATGGGGGAGGGAAGGATGATAAAGGTCTGGTTTTTCTGTTCCTGCATTCCAAGACCCTCCTTGGTTTTATCTGCTCTTTCGTCCTTGGGTCACCACACTCATCAATTGAAGGCTTCCCATGGTGGGTTTCTCCACTTCAAGGAAAGGACTTTGTTCAACTCTGCGGATACTTTCACCAACAACAATCGTATGTCACGCCTCTTCTTGATCTGATGACATCTAACAATCCTAAGATGGGCTGGTATAACATATTGTACCTTACTATGGACATGATGTGACTTTTAACTTTGATTAGGTTTTAGCTTGGTTTAATGACTATTTTGCTTTACATCTGTAACTGTAAAATGGGGTTTGTTTCTAACCATCTGAAAGCTTTTAAGTTACAAAAGGTTGTCCAGGCTCCTATGAGTGCCACAGCCTCCTCCAACTATTACCTGGATCAGAGACTCTGTATGAGGGTTAGGAGAATATGTTGCCTCAACAATTTAGGGACCATGCCCCTCAACAGCAGGAAGTACTTATGGAACAAACACAACACCCCTTTCCCTAGGCAACATAATTCTCCTAAAAGAAAAGGGGGGAACGAGTTGGTAACAGGCAGGAAGGCCAGGGGTCTCCAAACGGAGGAAATAGGCTGCAAGTGTCAGACATTTTTTCTCTCTCCCTTAAGCAGCAGGAGGAAACAAACTACAAGTGTCAGCGATTTTCTTCCTTCTCCATACAAAATTAAAAGGAGGTTTCTCCATGGAAATGTTTTTCTCAAGCTGTGTTAATGAAACTATGTATTTGCTTTGGAATTTGCCTTTCTTCAAAATGGTTCCACCTAAGACTAACTTTTTTTTCTTTTCTGAAACCTTGGGCTGATAATAGCTCAACAAACCAGTATTCCTATCAATCGTTTTATGGCTGGGGGATGACACACCTCATGTCATCCTATCTCAAAAATGCATATTGTGGGAGAGGGGCCTGGTGAAACTCCGTCAGCCTTGAGGTGTTGCTCTTATCTGATTAATGGCTTTGGAACAGATGTAACATAGCTTGCTAAGACCAGCAGGAGCACTCTCCTATTTCTTCTGATATCCATGTCAGAAGCTTTCTCCGTCCCTTTTTATACTTTAATAAGACTCTGCTATACAAAAGCTCTTGAGGGATCAAGTCTGGTTCCTGGGCCCGAAGTTAAATCTTCTTGTTCAGAGATCACGAATCTGACACTGTTCACCGTAAGTTATCACTACCACACAATTACACTCATTTCACATGCTAGCAAGGTAATGCTTCAACCTAAGTTGTGGCAGTACGTGAACTGTGAACTTCCAGATGTACAAGCTGAGTTTTGAAGAGGCAGAGGAATGAGAGATCAAACTGCCAACATTCCTTGGATCATGGAGAAAGCAGGGAGTTCCAGAAAAACATCTATTTCTGCTTTATTGACTGTGCTAACGCCTTTGACTGTGTGGCTCACAACAAACTGTGGAAAATTCTTAAAGAGATGGGAATACCAGACCACCTTACCTGTCTCCTGAAAAACCTGTATGCAGGTCAAGAAGCAATAGTTAAAACCGGACATGGAACAATGGACTGGTCCCAAATTGGGAAAGGAGTGCATCAAGGCTGTATATTGTCACCCTGTTTATTTAACTTCTATGCAGAGTACATCATGCGAAATGCCAGGCTGGATGACTCACAAGCTGGAATCAAATATGCAGATGATACCTCTCTAAAGAGGAACTAAAGGGCTTGTTGATGAGGGTGAAAGATGAGAGTGAAAAAGCTGGCTTGAAGTTCAAAGAAGTAAGATCATGGAATTTGGTCCCATTAGGAAAAGTGGGAACAGTGACAGATTTTATTTTCTTGGGCTCCAAAATCATTGCAGACAGTGATTGCAACCATGAAATTAAAGGATGCTTCCTCCTTGGAAGGAAAGCTATGACAAACCCAGACAGCCTATTAAAAAGCAGAATCACTTTGCTGAAAATGGTCTGTATTTGTCAAAACTATAGTTTTCCAGTAGTCATGTATGGATATGAGAGTTGGGCCAAAAAGAGGCTGAGAGCCGAAGAACTGATGCTTTCAAATTGTGGCGCTGAAGAAGACTCTCGAGAGTTTCTTGGACAGCAAGGAGATCAAATCAGTTAATCCTAAAGGAATTCAACCCTGAATAGTCACTGGAAGGGCTGATGCTGAAGCTCCAATAATTTGGCCACCTGTCGTGAAGAGAGAACTCTTTGGAAAAGACCCTGGTGCTGGGAAAGACTGAGGGCAGGAAGAGAAAGGGGCGGCAGAGGATAAGATGGTTAGATAGAATCAGACTCAGTGGACATGAATTTGAGCAAACTCCAAGAGATAGTGAAGGACAGAGGAGCCTGGCATGTTGCAGTCCATAAGGTTGCAAAGAGTAGGACTCGACTTAGCAAATGAACAACAACAACAAGGGAATGGAGGCTTTTCCCTGGTGGCACTAGTGGTACAGAATCCGCTTGCAATGCAGGAGACGTGACTTCCATCCCTGGGTCAGGAAGATCCCCTGGAGGAGGAAATGGAAACCCACTCCAGTATTCTTGCCTGGGAAATCCTGTGGACAGCAGAGCCTGGACAGTCCATGGGGTCGTAAGAGAGTTGGACACCACTTAGAAACTAAACAACATCAAGGGAATAGAGAGTAACCAGAGGAAGATCAGAAACACACCCCTGTGATGGAAATGGAAAGGAAAACCAAAAAAGATGGATATATGTGTACAGGAACTGATTCACTTTGCTGTAGAGTAGAAACTAAAACAACACTGTAAAGCAACTATATGCCAATAAAAGTTAATTTAAAAAGCAAGAAACAAATGCTCCTCTGAGTAGGAGACCTGGGAGCAGAGACTGGAATGCAAGTGGGGAGAAACTGTGCAAAGAACCCAAGGTGAGCTTTGCAAAGAGGGATCGACAAATACCAACTCCCTGAGGTGGAAATAAACTTTGTAGGTTACAGCAATCACAAGACGAGCAGGAGACTACAGGGGCATAGAGCAGGCAGGGAGACGGGAAATGAATTAGAAAAGACACAGGACAAGTAGAGCTCTAGTGGGTTTTTTTTTTTTCGTGATAGAAAATTGAATTGTGTCTTGCTTGGGATGGAAAGCCCGTGAACAGATAGAAACGGGGAAGTGACATCACTTAATTTCCATTTCCCAAGAATCCTTAGGATCATTTTTTGGGTTGGGGCAGGGGCGAAATGGGTGAAGGAGCTCAAAAGGACCAACTTTCAGTCTGACTGAATAAAATTAACATTTTAAGGGAAGACGAGTAAAACATAAATATTTCCCCCTGCCCTCTAGGGTGCACTGTTCATCTGCACTATGCATTAACCTGACCTCCCCAAAGGCAGAAACACCTGCTCAACTAGAAAGATCAACTCTTCTTCTTCCAGTGCCAGCCATGGAAACTCCTTAGAAGATAACACACCTCTGTCAATTCTGCATGGGATCACCATGACTCGCCACACAGCCTGCATGTGCATAGAGCTTTGGTGAAATTGACGCACAACGCCAGTAGATCATTTCCCTTAAAGATAGGGACTGGTACAGAACAGACCAGGTCACAGGGCCCGAGGAGATATGGAGCCACACCTACCAGACGTTCTCACCTTAAATACTTGCTTAAGACCTTACTGATCTCACTAGTTCATATCCTGCCTATTTGACGACATGATTGTTTCTTGCATTACCAGATGTGTGACTGAGCCCCTGATAAAAACAACAATAACTAAGTGACTCGAAACCATTCACCTAATAGATAGCTCTCTAAGATCAGTGATGGTAATAGCAGAACTCTAGCTATGGGAAGAAATAACAAGAGGGAATCATTTCCTGACTGTAACAGACCAGTAAGACAGGCCATCCAGAGGCTGTGGGCTACTGTCAGAAGGGCCTAGTCCACTAATAGCACATGGAGGGTCCTATCAAAGAAATCCTGGCCTGACCTGGGAATGAGCATTCCTAGTGTTGCGGGCCAAATTGGTCACAAAATGCCTCTCAAACCTTGGGCAAGGTTAAGACCTAAAGGGAGGAGTCTGTGAGACAAAGATTGTTGCCCACCATCCAGTCCTACAGGAATCCAGTTGTGAGCCACTGCAGTCACTGACCTAAATTATACCCTAAAAGGAATTCAGGGTGAAGATCAGTGTGAGAAATTTTGTACTCTAGGAAAATTGACAGAACTGGCCTCTGGTATCATTCGGCATTTTCGGGTGAAAATTTTATGACCCCAGTTTCCTGCATCTTCCCATACTTGGAAAAGCACTAAAACCATTAATTCAGATGTCTGTTTCCAAATGAAGAGCAGTAACCTTCCAGAAAGATGTGTGCTTGACTGTACCCACCAAATTCTAAAGTCACAGACATACTGGCCTCCCCTCCCCTCCCCTCCCCTCTTCAGAACTGTTCTCAGAGCTTTCTAAAAGACTATTTCCCTGATTATCACCCTCAGATTGGTTCAAATGAAACTTTCCATTTATTTTTGAAGCTATTAATTCTTTCATCTTTATAAAATAAGTAAGTCATGTGTGTACTGTGCCAAGTCGCTTCAGTTGTGTCTGACTGTTTGCTCCCCTATGGACTGTAGCCCACCAGGCTCCTCTGTCCATGGGCTTCTCCAGGCAAGAATACTGGAGGGGGTTGCCATGTCCTCCTCCAGGGGATCCTCCCAACCCAGGAATCGAACCCAGCTCTCTTATGTCTCCTGCATGGGCAGGTGGCTTCTTTAGCCACCTGGGAAGCTCCTAAGTAAGTCATGGGGATGTCATACACAGCATATTTGAAAGATGCTAAGAGTACATCTTAAAAGTTGTCATCATCACAAGGAAAAATTCGTAATTATGTGTAGTGGTGGATGTTTTCTAGACCTATTGTGATCATTTCACAATAGCTACAAATATTGAATCATTATGTTGTGTATCTAGTATGTCAATTATACCTCAACAAAAAAAAGATCTGTTTCATTTCTTAAAGAAAAATAAACTTTGACAGTGTCTATAATAGTATAAAAAAAGACAAGAGGAAGATTTCAGAGCCTGGCTACAATTGGAGATAAGGGACTCTCGTTTCTCTAGCATTCTGGCCAATTTTGGACCAGCTTCTCTGGGTGAAACTGGAGGATTTAGATTAGGGACATTGAAATACGCCTTCTGACCTTTCCTTTACAAAGAACCCTAAAAATTCTCAATCAAGCTGAACTTTAAGGCACTCCATTTTTCTTTCCATACCTTTGGCTTCCTTTGTGAGAACCATGCCCCCAGTGGATGATTTAGAAAAACCATATACACAGATCATAAAAGTCAATGAATATTTGAGATTCTATGCTGCTGGAAGGATTATTTTTAGTTACTATTTTTGGCCACATTGAATTGCTTGTGGGATCTTGGTTTCCCAACCAAGGAGCAAACCCGGGCCCTCAGCTGTGAAAGCACTGAATCCTACCCACTGGACCACCAGGGAAGTCCCTGTTGGAAAGATTATCACTCGGGGCTACTTTTACTCTGGAGCAACATAAGTGTTTTCCATAACCACAACACCAAATGGAATCCAAATGGAGACAAAATGCAACAAACGAATTTAACCACATACCCAGTTGTTGACCTAACTTCACAGGGCATGACTTGAACAACAAAGTAATATAGCCAAAAAAAAAAAAAAAAGAACTGCCAAAAAACAAGCTTCAATTGTTTCAGTTATCAGTGCCATCATCAATGGGGACTATACACACTCACGGCCTGAAAAACTGAATATACAATTATGTTGATGTCATTAGGAACCAAGATTTTAAACACAAAACAAAAGATACACAAGCATGAAATGAAAGGAAAAGAAGCCTGGTGATACTGATTTTGAATTGGAAATAACAGGATAAACTCATGGCTATTTTCCCCTTAAAAAAATATGCATCCTAACTCTCCACTGGAAAAATGTAGAAGCAAAGAGACACTCAATAGTAATTACTCTGAAAATAGGTGATGGGAAAAAAATTGACAATTTATCCTCCCTCTCCTACACAGACTGAATTACAAGTAAAGCAGTAACTGATGGGGGAAAGTTCTTTATAGAAAAGTTTTCACTAATAAATGAAGAAGGAATCCTAGAATTTTAATATCTCCATCCTGCAACCTTCAATGAGATGATGAATCTAGCCACTGGAGAACTTTATAAAGTAGGATCGACTTGACAAACAGTCAAACAGCGGCCCACATTCCTGCCCCAGGAGAAGTTCAGATGCCTCCTCACCTGCAGAATGTTCTTGCTTCCCTATCACAGTGGAACCCCATCAAGCTTTCAGACTTCCTATCAGCTTACAGGATGGAATCTGTAAAAATAAAAAAATGCAGTAAGTATTACAGAAGAGATGGCTTAGTGTCTTTAGTAAGCAAATAGCAAGATAAATGAAAAAGAAAAAAAGAAGATACAGGAATTGTCACATAAATGCAACCTGTGGATCCTGGCTGCATTTCAAACAAAGCCAACTGGAAAAAAAATTTATCAGATGATTTGGACAATTTCAACACTGACTGGATATTTGACGATATTAACTTGCTTAGGTATGCAAATTTTATTAGAACAATTTTATAAAAAGTCCTTATCATTTACAGATACACTGAAGTTTTACAGCTGAGATGCTATGATGCCTGGAAGCAGCTTTAAAATAACGCAGAGGCGGTGCTGGCCATGCTGGGGGATGTGTACAAAGGAAACAAGACGGCACCTGAGCTGATAATTGTTTAAGCTGGTGATGTCTGAATAGGTGTTCCTTGTACTCTTCTCTGTACTCTTGTGGATGCTTGGAAATCTCTCATTACAGAAAGAGTCGTGTAGATGCCAGACATTAGGGATTACATGCTAAACAATTACCTCCAGTTGGTTTAAGGAAATCCACGTTTCATCTTTTGCTGTTTGCTACAGACACCACCCTTATGGCAGAAAGTGAAGAAGAACTAAAGAGCCTCTTGATGAAAGTGAAAGAGGAGAGCGAAAAAGTTGGCTTAACGCTCAACATTCAGAAAAATAAGATCATGGCATTCGGTCCCATCACTTCATGGCAAATAGATGGGGAAACAGTGGAAACAGTGGCTGACTTTATTTTTCTGGGTTCCAAAATCACTGCAGATGGTGACTGCAGCCATGAAATTAAAAGATGCTTACTCCTTGAAAGGAAAGTTATGACCAAACTAGAAAGCATATTAAAAAGCAGAGACATTACTTTGCCAACAAAGGTCCATCTAGTCAAGGCTATGGTTTTTCCAGTGGGCATGTATGGATGTGAGAGTTGGACTATAAAGAAAGCTGAGCACCGAAGAATTGATGCTTTGGAACTGTGGTGTTGGAGAAGACTCTGGAGAGTCTCTTGGACTGCAAGGAGATCCAACCAGTCCATCCTACAGGAGATCAGTCCTGAATACTCATTGGAAGGACTGATGTTGAAGCTGACACTCCAGTACTTTGGCCACCTGATGTGAAGAGCTGACTCATTTAGAAAAGACCCTGATGCTGGGAAAGATTGAAGGCAGTAGGAGAAGGGGACGACAGATGATGAGATGGTTGGATGGCATCACTGACTCGATGGACATGGGTTTGGGTGGACTCTGGGTGTTGGTGATGGACAGGGAGACCTGGCATGCTGTGGTTCATGGGGTCGCAAAGAGTCGGACACAACTGAGCGACTGAACTGAACTGAACAGTGCATAGAAGCTATAGAAGGATCTGCTTGTGTCAAGCAATTGTGAACATTTACAGATACTCATTTAGTAACTTCATAATACATTCTGAACATCTGTAAACCAGACACCAGAGTTGTAGGTGATAGGGACATGATGGCTGTCATGGAGTTTAGGGTCAAGGTGGGGAAGGTGACAGTTATGGAATATATCTGTATCTTACAGACACATACACGATTTTATACATAATTAACACATTTCCAACAATCTGTGGATAATTCTTAAAGAGATGGGAACACCAGACCACCTTACCTGCCTCCTGAGAAATCAGTATGCAGGTCAAGAAGCAACAGTTAGAACCAGACATGGACTGGTTCCAAATCTGGAAAGGAGTACGTCAAGGCTGCATATTGTCACCCTGCTTCTTTAATTTATGTGCAGAGTACATCATGTGAAATCCCAGGCTGGATAAAGCACAAGCTGGAATCAAGACTGCCAGGAGAAATATCAATAACCTCAGATATGCAGGTGACACCACCCTTATGGCAGAAAGTGAAGAACAACTAAAGAGCCTCTTGATGAAGGTGAAAAATGAGAGTGAAAAAGTTTGGTTAAAACTCAACATTCAACAAACTAACATAATGGCATCTGGTCCCATCACTTCATGGTATATAGACGTGGAAAAAATGGAAGCAGTGACAGACTTTATTTTCTTGGGTCCCAAAATGACTACAGATGGTGACTGCAGCCA